GCCTCTCAGCTGACATGGGGCCATGCGTGTCCTGCTGCTCACCTTGCATTTCCACGTTATCCAAGCCCAGACTCTGAACTTGCAGACACATGGATGGAGCAAATGAAGGGGCCAAGCAGATGGCAGCAGCAAGCATGAGGGATAACACCTCTATCTTATCAGCACAGTGGCTGCTGCAAGGCAAGCCCTGAGGGACAGCTCTTGCCCTGGTTGCTTGGGATTCCTGCTGATGCCCATCTTCAGCTTTGCTGATTGATTTCCCTGGACAGTCAAAGGCACCATTGCAGGAATTTCTTGGACAGCCACCGGTCCTGTTTTGTCTTTCTCAGTGCTGATGTGATTTTCAGCAGGCAGTAAGATCATTCCTTTATGAGAAACCTGCTGAAAAGCTCCCTGGGATGATGGCAACCACACGAGGAGCTTTGTCTCTTTTCAGAGGCAGCACAGGTTTGGGAGAGCAGGGATGCTTCCATTTGCATTGCCAGACACTCATTGGACAGATTTAATATCATCAGCATTTGGGATAAGGCAGCTGGGACAGGCAGTTCAAAGGGCTCCTGGCACACAAAGCTGCCACAGCCTCTAAAGCACAAAGCCCACCTTGGGCTGGCCAGGGGCTGAGCTCAGCACTGCTGAAGGCTTCACAGGTCACCTTGCACATTTGCCCTTGTCTTGTTCTTCTCCCTGCCCCTCATCTCTCCATCTCCACTGGATTCAGGATGCTGAGCTGCACACAGCCCTGCTCTGACCCAAGATATCTGGCCCTTTTCCTCTTGTTCAGCCCTGCATCAGGAATGTGGTGACCAATGAGCTGGAAACTGAGAACTGCAACTACAAGTCGGAATTTTTACAGTACTCGGCAGAGCATGCCCAAAGCCGCCCCAAATCAAGCAGAGAAGGGTCTGAGAAGTCCTTCTGCATGATCCACTCCATGAGATTGAAATATCTCTAACTTAATATCTACTTTAACAGATTCATACAAAAGAAAGTACCGTGAGAAGGAGTGGCACAGGATTCTGCTCGCAGCCCCAAAGTGGCAGAGGAGTCTCAAATGCCTCTGCTGCAGTCTCAGACTTTCTGGATTTATATGCTTTCCAGGAAGAGGTAGTAGTTGGATTTCCCAAGAAGCCTTTAGAATAAATTTTCTAAGGTGTTCAGACCCCTTCTCTGTTTGTCTAGAGGTTTTTTGGAAGGTCATAGGTGAAGATTTAGTAGTCAATAATCTCGCCCTTCCTTCTTATTAAACAATTTGATGATAATTTTCAGGTGACCGTGCTTGATTTTCTTTCCCAAATCACTCCCTCCCTCCATACCCTCCTGACTGACAGAAAATACCAAAATGCTGCAAAATTCAATGCATTCATAAGCTCTGATTGCTCCTTGGAGCTCAGCAGCCTGGGCTTTGTCCATATAAATATTTATTTCAGAAAGTCAGGAAAGACTTAGAATATTGGAATCAATGGTGAGGAGGGAGAAAGAGCTTACCTTGGTGCAGAGTCTCAGAACAGGCAGCTGAACTGTTCCTTCTGTCTTCTCCCACGAGAAAGGAGAGTTTGAATCCTCAGGAGTGCACCTGCAATCTATAAATATCACGTGCAGCCAAAATTTGCCCCTTGTTATAAACAAGGAATTCTATAGAATAGAGAAGTTACCTGTTTTTATTCAGGGGCATGATGAAACCCACCCTGAAATGTGCTGACTGTTGTTTGTTATAGTTCCCCAGAATTTCTCCCAAATTTGCTGCCTTGCAGCATGGCATGTCAGGGTCAGCTAACAGGGTCTGGTGGGCTCCTTGATCCTTTCATCAATCCCACCAGCTGCAGCTGCTGCTGCTCCAGCACCTACACGTGTTTCTGCTCCCAACAGAACAGCTCTGCTGACACTGGATGGACTGGCCTGACTCTGATACACTCAGATATTCACAGTCTGTCCTTCTGCAGCCTCCCTGAACATCATTGCCATGGCCAGGCTGCAAATATTCTCTTGCCTGGTTGCCATGGCTGTGTGACAGCTCCATCCCAGCAGCCTGGGAAGCAGAAGGCTCTGGGGATACCTTGGAGCACCTGCCAGTACTTGAGGAGTCTACAGGAGAGCTGGAGACAGACTCTGCACAAGGGCATGGAGCTGACAGGTGTGTTGGGTTCAGAGTTAGTTTTCTTGACAGTGGCAGGTGTGGGGCTGTGTTTTGGATTTCTGCTGAACACAGAGTTGATAACACAGAGATGTTTCTGGTATTGCTGGGCAGAGCTTTCACAGGCCAAGGCCTTTTGTGCTTCTTGTACTGCCAGGCTGGCAAGGAGGCTGGGGGTACCTGGGAGGCTGGGAGGAGACACAACCAGGACAGGTGAGCCCAACTGACCAGAGGATATTCCAGACCATGAGGCATCATGCTGAGGGTATAAAGTGAGGGGAAGGAGGAGGAAGGAGGGGGAGATTGGAGTGATGGGTTTTGTCTTCCTAGGTAGCTGGCAGGTGGAACAGTTCCCAGCCCTCCTGGAGTTGGCTGAACACCTTTCTATCCATGGGAAATGATGAAGGAATGCCTTGATGTGCTTTGCTTGTGTGTACGGCTTTTGCTTTCCCTGTTAAACTGTCTCTATCTCCACCCAGGAGATTTCCAGCTTATCCCCTTCCAGTTCTCTCCCTCATCCCAGTGGTCAGGGAGGGAGGTAGCGGCTGCGTGGGGTGTGGCTGCTGGCTGGGGCAAAAACACATTATTGGGACAAGCTGAAAGGGCTTGAAATGGAAGGAGCGTAGGTTTAGAAAGGATATTAAGAAGATATTTGTTACTGTGTGGTGGTGAGGCCCCAGCACAGGTTGCCCACAGAAGCTGAGACTGCCCCATGACTGCAAGTGTCCATGGCCAGGCTGGCTGGGGCTTGGAGGAACCTGGGATACTGGAAGGTGTCCCTGCCTTCCGGGAGGCTGGTCTTCAAGTTCCTTTCCAACCCCAAATAGTCTGTCATTCTATGACCATTCATTCACTCAAACTAAATTGGACAAATTTTCTTCTGTTTCCAAAAGTCCAGGAATAACAAAGTGACGAGTTCTTTCTTACAACCATAAGTGTCCAGAAGTGTGTTAGACCAAAGTTTATTAAGCATGCTGGTTGAGTCCTGTGGTTTCTTTTGTCTCTGTTAACCTGGGACTGATGTCTTAAACAAAGTGGGGTTTAGCCAGAATGAAGGAGAAGGCCAAGAAGAAGCAGATCTGGTGGAGGTGGGGCAAATTCCTCCTTTCTGATGGGGCCCAACAGTGGTCACATCATTAGAAGGGGCCATAAACCATCAAAGACCACCAAAGTGTCCCCCAGCTCCACAGTGCTGCATGACCAATGTGTACAACACCGCCCAGGGGAAAAGTGGGGAAACCCCACATAATCCTGAACTCACAGAACCTACAGAACTCTTCAATGCAAAGGCCTCAAGTCCCAAAGAATCGTCAAAGTTTGGGACATCAAAGCTGGTAGTCTTGTTCCTGGATCAATGGAAGTATCTTGTATGAGCTGTTGACACCCTGGCCCACTTGGTTCATGCCATTCACAGGAGAATGACTGGTGTCTGATGCTGACACTTGTGTGGGTGTTGTGGCATCCTCTGATTGCATTTGCACACCCAATGTCCTGCAAGGATGCTCTGGGCACTGTCACTTTACTGGTGGATGTAGAAATTTCACTGAGAAGCAAATTGTAGTTTATAGAAGACTTGACCCTACAATCCAGCACTGCAGCAAATCACGTTTATTGCAAGCTCTTGCAAACTCCATGATGGGGCACACATGGATCTTTGACAAGCATTGAATACATTTCCCCAAATCAGTTTCCCCTCAATCTGCAGAAAAGCTTCAGAAGCAGAGCAGAGCATGAAGGTGTCCAAGGAGTGCAACACAGGAATTCAGCTTTGGCTGCTCCAGGCTCTCTATGGATCTGATGCCAAAGCCTGCCTGTTTGATACAACAGCTGCTGCCCCCAAGGTGCACTTTCAAAAGCAAGCAAACAAAAGCATGTGCCAGGATGACAGAATCACTGAATTGTTGTGTTTTGGAGGGACTTCTCAGCATCTTCTAGTCCACACTCCAGGCTGCAGCAGGATCAGCTAGAGCAGGTTGTCCAGAATCATGTATTGTTGGGATTTGGGGATCTCCAGACATGGAGATCTCCAGACAGAATCTCTGGCCACCCTGAGGCGCCCTGGTGCCACAGCCTGGCTAAGGAGGGGAGGGACAAGTCAGCTGCACACTCTTGGGGACTGCTGAGGAGGAGAGGACTCGTTCCTCAGAGCTCTCTCCTGACATGGGCAGCAAAGCAAAGCAGCTGGAGGCTCTGCCCACATCTTTGTGCCTTTGAGCAGAGCAGGAGGTGCCCTGAGGGACAGAGCTGGAAACACAGCAGAGAAGGAAGCAGCACAGACTCTGACCAGGACATTTGTCCCCCTCTGCTCTGCTCTGCTCAGACCCCACCTGCAGTGCTGCCTCCAGCTCTGGGGCCCACAGCACAAGAATGATCCATAGCTGTTGGAGTGGAGTCCAGTGGAGGCCATGAAGATGCTGCAAGGGCTGGAGTGTGTCTGCTCTGGAGTGAGGGAGAGAGCTGGGGATGTTCAGCCTGGAGGAGACTACTGAGGGTCCAGTACCTCAAGGGTCTCCAAGAGGGCTGGAGAGGGTCTTTGGAATGGAGTGAGAGGACAGGAGGGAATGGTTTTACACTGATGGAGGGCAGGGTTAGATGGGATATTATAAAGCAGTAAATTACAGTGAGCAGGCTGTGGTATGAGTAAAAGTTACCCAGAGCTGTTTTGACTGCCCAATCCCTGGAAGGGCTCAAGGCCAGGCTGGGGAGGGCTTGGAACAAGCTGGTGTAGTGGAAGGTGTCCCTGCCCATGGAAGGCAGGTCAGAGTGAGATGATCTTTAAGGCTTTTCGGTCCCATCCAAACCAACCCTTTCTGTGATTCTGTGACATGTGGGAACAGCCACCTTACCCTTTCCATTTAGGATGTGAGGCTTATTCCCTGGGACATGCTTTGTCAAACAGAGTAACCTTTCCACCATAGAGATTGGACAACTTGTCCTCCAGCTGCCCCAGCGTGATTGTCTCCACCTCATTCTTGTCATTTTCAGCAATGGCCCCCCAAGCACTTGTGGGCTCTGTGCCCACCATGCAGCAGGCAGCTGACCAGATGTGGCTGGGCTTGTTCACCCTCCCTTTGGCAATGTGAATGTTCCCAGGCACAGCACCCGTGATCACATAGGTGGTTGTACAGTCCTTGGTATGTTGGGGCATTGTTTTAGACAGGTAGACGTTCCACTGGCCCTTGTTGAGACTGCTGTCCTGGGGCACTACGTTGGTCAGGGTGAAGGTAGCCATCTTGCTATCTTGATTCTCCATGTGGTCACTGGGATTCAAATGGCCAAAGTCCAAATCCTTCTGTCCTTCGTAGTCCTCAAGGACAGCCTGGCTCTCTTCGATTTCTTCTAAGGTGAAACGATGTTGATCAATGAGGTCTGATTCTCTTTTCATCTCTTTAAGATTTACATTCTTATCTATGAGCTGGACAGGAAAAAAGAAAGAGGTGTTAGAACGGGGAATGGAGTAATGGAGAAGATTTCCCTGAAGCAGAAGTCTCTGATGGTCAAGGTCCCATTTTTTGTCATCTCAGTGTAGGAAAATGTATGAATCTGACAGAAATGATACACATGACCCTCCCACATGAACAGAAAAGCTTTAAAGAACGAGTAGCTCAGAACATAACTGCTCTCAGTTTGAGGTCTAACTTTTTTGTCCCAGTCTGCAGTCTGTGCTGGGAGCATGGATACTTGCATGAGAAAAGGAGCATTTCCCACTCCTAGGATTGAAAGGTGATTTTGGTGGGACATCATCTCCCCTGCCAAATCTGCTTCCCTTTCCTCCTGTCTCCACAGCCCAAAACTGCCCAGGGCTCTCCCTGGATCCCCTCACACCACACTGTGACTCTGTGATTCTGTAATGTTATGTGGGGTTGCTACAGGTGTAGCCCAGTCCTGGAACACCAGAGGTTGCCTCCTGTAACCACATACACAGGGAGATGTGTCAGGAAATCAGTCCTATAGCTTAGATTTCCTGGGAGTGCTACAGTTCATTGAAGGATGAACAGTTTTGCTCAGTAAGAAAGAAGATCTCAATGTGAATGGAATCTGTTACAGCAGTGCTGAGAATATGTCTCAGAGCTGAGTTGGGCCAGGGAGAATTTTCTGCAGCATCACTGCAAAGAAGTTACATTTGATCAGCCTCTGATCATTTGGGGCCTCTAAACTGAAAGCAGTCCTGTGGAAATGCAATAGTCCAAAAATTACCCGGGAGAAAGATGATAAAGTCAAAGGTATTTTGGGTGGCCTGGGTCCAAGGTCCAGGAAAAGTGGTAATTCAAATGCTGCAGCTCATCTCTGAGTGGCTGGAGGGTGATGTGTATAAGAGGGACACTCACCTGAGGCTCAACCATCCACCACTCTGGAGGTTCCTTGCCATCTCCAGGCTCATACTTGTAAGCAGAGTACACTGGAATTCTCCTGTCTCTGTCGTACAGGGTGGCATAGTGATACGAGTTCCTGAAGCGCTGACAGATCCAGGCTGGGTTCTGTGGGTTCAGGGCATTATTTGGAGGGGTCTCCGAATAGAAGAACTGAGGACAACTCGCAAAGGGTGTCACCACCTCGCTGTGTCCCAGCCAGAGGCAGCTGGCCAACACCTGCAGCAGCAGCAGCCCCAGCATGGTGGCAGGATTTCAGTGAAGGGCTCTTGCTCCCCTGGAAGGCAAATGCAGAGGGACACTCAGCTTGGAGAGAGCAGGTCATGGCCTGGAGCCTTTTGGTGTAGGGGGACAGAGCTGGCAGAGCAGGGGATTGTGAGAGACCAGGAAAGGAGTAATTTATGTTCTCCTGCATATGGAAAAATCACAAGGATGACAAGGCTGAAACCAAAAACAGGGTTTAGGTGCCCAGAGGAGGCAGCAGTGGGAGCACTCAGCCTGTAGGAGGAAGGAGCCAAACCCACCAGGACTGCAATCAGCTCTCACAGCAAAGGGATCTTGCAACTGAGGCACAGTCCTGGGACAAGGTCACCTTTGCCCACCTCCCTCCTGCTCTCAGCACCTTCCCACAGCACACACCTGCAGCTGGGCACGGACTCTGCTCAGCCCCCTGCCATGCTCAGCTGGGCTTTAATCTCATGGGCCATTGGGCAGGCCAAGAACAGCAATGCTGCACTGCCTACAGCTCTCTGGCCCCATCCAGGTTCACACAGACACTCAGCTCTTCCAGTCAGACCCAACACTGAACCCCAAATCATCCACCTGGGCTCCTGCCTCTCAGCTGACATGGGGCCATGCGTGTCCTGCTGCTCACCTTGCATTTCCACGTTATCCAACCCCAGACTCTGAACTTGCAGACACATGGAGGGAGCAAATGAAGGGGCCAAGCAGATGGCAGCAGCAAGCATGAGGGATAACACCTCTATCTTATCAGCACAGTGGCTGCTGCAAGGCAAGCCCTGAGGGGCAGCTCTTGCCCTGGTTGCTTGGGATTCCTGCTGATGCCCATCTTCAGCTTTGCTGATCATTTTCCCTGGACAGTCAAAGGCACTATTGCAGGAATTTCTTGGACCTGTTTTTTCTTTCTCAGGGCTGATGTGATTTTCAGCAGGCAGTAAGATCATTCCTTTATGAGAAACCTGCTGAAAAGCTCCCTGGGATGATGGCAACCACACGAGGAGCTTTGTCTCTTTTCAGAGGCAGCACAGGTTTGGGAGAGCAGGGATGCTTCCATTTGCATTGCCAGACACTCATTGGACAGATTTAATATCATCAGCATTTGGGATCAGGCAGCTGGGACAGGCTGTTCAAAGGGTTCCTGGCACACAAAGCTGCCACAGCCTCTAAAGCACAAAGCCCACCTTGGGCTGGCCAGGGGCTGAGCTCAGCACTGCTGAAGGCTTCACAGGTCACCTTGCACATTTGCCCTTGTCTTGTTCTTCTCCCTGCCCCTCATCTCTCCATCTCCACTGGATTCAGGATGCTGAGCTGCACACAGCCCTGCTCTGACCCAAGATATCTGGCCCTTTTCCTCTTGTTCAGCCCTGCATCAGGAATGTGGTGACCAATGAGCTGGAAACTGAGAACTGCAACTACAAGTCGGAATTTTTACAGTACTCGGCAGAGCATGCCCAAAGCCGCCCCAAATCAAGCAGAGAAGGGTCTGAGAAGTCCTTCTGCATGATCCACTCCATGAGATTGAAATATCTCTAACTTAATATCTACTTTAACAGATTCATACAAAAGAAAGTACCGTGAGAAGGAGTGGCACAGGATTCTGCTCGCAGCCCCAAAGTGGCAGAGGAGTCTCAAATGCCTCTGCTGCAGTCTCAGACTTTCTGGATTTATATGCTTTCCAGGAAGAGGTAGTAGTTGGATTTCCCAAGAAGCCTTTAGAATAAATTTTCTAAGGTGTTCAGACCCCTTCTCTGTTTGTCTAGAGGTTTTTTGGAAGGTCATAGGTGAAGATTTAGTAGTCAATAATCTCGCCCTTCCTTCTTATTAAACAATTTGATGATAATTTTCAGGTGACCGTGCTTGATTTTCTTTCCCAAATCACTCCCTCCCTCCATACCCTCCTGACTGACAGAAAATACCAAAATGCTGCAAAATTCAATGCATTCATAAGCTCTGATTGCTCCTTGGAGCTCAGCAGCCTGGGCTTTGTCCATATAAATATTTATTTCAGAAAGTCAGGAAAGACTTAGAATATTGGAATCAATGGTGAGGAGGGAGAAAGAGCTTACCTTGGTGCAGAGTCTCAGAACAGGCAGCTGAACTGTTCCTTCTGTCTTCTCCCACGAGAAAGGAGAGTTTGAATCCTCAGGAGTGCACCTGCAATCTATAAATATCACGTGCAGCCAAAATTTGCCCCTTGTTATAAACAAGGAATTCTATAGAATAGAGAAGTTACCTGTTTTTATTCAGGGGCATGATGAAACCCACCCTGAAATGTGCTGACTGTTGTTTGTTATAGTTCCCCAGAATTTCTCCCAAATTTGCTGCCTTGCAGCATGGCATGTCAGGGTCAGCTAACAGGGTCTGGTGGGCTCCTTGATCCTTTCATCAATCCCACCAGCTGCAGCTGCTGCTGCTCCAGCACCTACACGTGTTTCTGCTCCCAACAGAACAGCTCTGCTGACACTGGATGGACTGGCCTGACTCTGATACACTCAGATATTCACAATCTGTCCTTCTGCAGCCTCCCTGAACATCATTGCCATGGCCAGGCTGCAAATATTCTCTTGCCTGGTTGCCATGGCTGTGTGACAGCTCCATCCCAGCAGCCTGGGAAGCAGAAGGCTCTGGGGATACCTTGGAGCACCTGCCAGTACTTGAGGAGTCTACAGGAGAGCTGGAGACAGACTCTGCACAAGGGCATGGAGCTGACAGGTGTGTTGGGTTCAGAGTTAGTTTTCTTGACAGTGGCAGGTGTGGGGCTGTGTTTTGGATTTCTGCTGAACACAGAGTTGATAACACAGAGATGTTTCTGGTATTGCTGGGCAGAGCTTTCACAGGCCAAGGCCTTTTGTGCTTCTTGTACTGCCAGGCTGGCAAGGAGGCTGGGGGTACCTGGGAGGCTGGGAGGAGACACAACCAGGACAGGTGAGCCCAACTGACCAGAGGATATTCCAGACCATGAGGCATCATGCTGAGGGTATAAAGTGAGGGGAAGGAGGAGGAAGGAGGGGGAGATTGGAGTGATGGGTTTTGTCTTCCTAGGTAGCTGGCAGGTGGAACAGTTCCCAGCCCTCCTGGAGTTGGCTGAACACCTTTCTATCCATGGGAAATGATGAAGGAATGCCTTGATGTGCTTTGCTTGTGTGTACGGCTTTTGCTTTCCCTGTTAAACTGTCTCTATCTCCACCCAGGAGATTTCCAGCTTATCCCCTTCCAGTTCTCTCCCTCATCCCAGTGGTCAGGGAGGGAGGTAGCGGCTGCGTGGGGTGTGGCTGCTGGCTGGGGCAAAAACACATTATTGGGACAAGCTGAAAGGGCTTGAAATGGAAGGAGCGTAGGTTTAGAAAGGATATTAAGAAGATATTTGTTACTGTGTGGTGGTGAGGCCCCAGCACAGGTTGCCCACAGAAGCTGAGACTGCCCCATGACTGCAAGTGTCCATGGCCAGGCTGGCTGGGGCTTGGAGGAACCTGGGATACTGGAAGGTGTCCCTGCCTTCCGGGAGGCTGGTCTTCAAGTTCCTTTCCAACCCCAAATAGTCTGTCATTCTATGACCATTCATTCACTCAAACTAAATTGGACAAATTTTCTTCTGTTTCCAAAAGTCCAGGAATAACAAAGTGACGAGTTCTTTCTTACAACCATAAGTGTCCAGAAGTGTGTTAGACCAAAGTTTATTAAGCATGCTGGTTGAGTCCTGTGGTTTCTTTTGTCTCTGTTAACCTGGGACTGATGTCTTAAACAAAGTGGGGTTTAGCCAGAATGAAGGAGAAGGCCAAGAAGAAGCAGATCTGGTGGAGGTGGGGCAAATTCCTCCTTTCTGATGGGGCCCAACAGTGGTCACATCATTAGAAGGGGCCATAAACCATCAAAGACCACCAAAGTGTCCCCCAGCTCCACAGTGCTGCATGACCAATGTGTACAACACCGCCCAGGGGAAAAGTGGGGAAACCCCACATAATCCTGAACTCACAGAACCTACAGAACTCTTCAATGCAAAGGCCTCAAGTCCCAAAGAATCGTCAAAGTTTGGGACATCAAAGCTGGTAGTCTTGTTCCTGGATCAATGGAAGTATCTTGTATGAGCTGTTGACACCCTGGCCCACTTGGTTCATGCCATTCACAGGAGAATGACTGGTGTCTGATGCTGACACTTGTGTGGGTGTTGTGGCATCCTCTGATTGCATTTGCACACCCAATGTCCTGCAAGGATGCTCTGGGCACTGTCACTTTACTGGTGGATGTAGAAATTTCACTGAGAAGCAAATTGTAGTTTATAGAAGACTTGACCCTACAATCCAGCACTGCAGCAAATCACTTTTATTGCAAGCTCTTGCAAACTCCATGATGGGGCACACATGGATCTTTGACAAGCATTGAATACATTTCCCCAAATCAGTTTCCCCTCAATCTGCAGAAAAGCTTCAGAAGCAGAGCAGAGCATGAAGGTGTCCAAGGAGTGCAACACAGGAATTCAGCTTTGGCTGCTCCAGGCTCTCTATGGATCTGATGCCAAAGCCTGCCTGTTTGATACAACAGCTGCTGCCCCCAAGGTGCACTTTCAAAAGCAAGCAAACAAAAGCATGTGCCAGGATGACAGAATCACTGAATTGTTGTGTTTTGGAGGGACTTCTCAGCATCTTCTAGTCCACACTCCAGGCTGCAGCAGGATCAGCTAGAGCAGGTTGTCCAGAATCATGTATTGTTGGGATTTGGGGATCTCCAGACATGGAGATCTCCAGACAGAATCTCTGGCCACCCTGAGGCGCCCTGGTGCCACAGCCTGGCTAAGGAGGGGAGGGACAAGTCAGCTGCACACTCTTGGGGACTGCTGAGGAGGAGAGGACTCGTTCCTCAGAGCTCTCTCCTGACATGGGCAGCAAAGCAAAGCAGCTGGAGGCTCTGCCCACATCTTTGTGCCTTTGAGCAGAGCAGGAGGTGCCCTGAGGGACAGAGCTGGAAACACAGCAGAGAAGGAAGCAGCACAGACTCTGACCAGGACATTTGTCCCCCTCTGCTCTGCTCTGCTCAGACCCCACCTGCAGTGCTGCCTCCAGCTCTGGGGCCCACAGCACAAGAATGATCCATAGCTGTTGGAGTGGAGTCCAGTGGAGGCCATGAAGATGCTGCAAGGGCTGGAGTGTGTCTGCTCTGGAGTGAGGGAGAGAGCTGGGGATGTTCAGCCTGGAGGAGACTACTGAGGGTCCAGTACCTCAAGGGTCTCCAAGAGGGCTGGAGAGGGTCTTTGGAATGGAGTGAGAGGACAGGAGGGAATGGTTTTACACTGATGGAGGGCAGGGTTAGATGGGATATTATAAAGCAGTAAATTACAGTGAGCAGGCTGTGGTATGAGTAAAAGTTACCCAGAGCTGTTTTGACTGCCCAATCCCTGGAAGGGCTCAAGGCCAGGCTGGGGAGGGCTTGGAACAAGCTGGTGTAGTGGAAGGTGTCCCTGCCCATGGAAGGCAGGTCAGAGTGAGATGATCTTTAAGGCTTTTCGGTCCCATCCAAACCAACCCTTTCTGTGATTCTGTGACATGTGGGAACAGCCACCTTACCCTTTCCATTTAGGATGTGAGGCTTATTCCCTGGGACATGCTTTGTCAAACAGAGTAACCTTTCCACCATAGAGATTGGACAACTTGTCCTCCAGCTGCCCCAGCGTGATTGTCTCCACCTCATTCTTGTCATTTTCAGCAATGGCCCCCCAAGCACTTGTGGGCTCTGTGCCCACCATGCAGCAGGCAGCTGACCAGATGTGGCTGGGCTTGTTCACCCTCCCTTTGGCAATGTGAATGTTCCCAGGCACAGCACCCGTGATCACATAGGTGGTTGTACAGTCCTTGGTATGTTGGGGCATTGTTTTAGACAGGTAGACGTTCCACTGGCCCTTGTTGAGACTGCTGTCCTGGGGCACTACGTTGGTCAGGGTGAAGGTAGCCATCTTGCTATCTTGATTCTCCATGTGGTCACTGGGATTCAAATGGCCAAAGTCCAAATCCTTCTGTCCTTCGTAGTCCTCAAGGACAGCCTGGCTCTCTTCGATTTCTTCTAAGGTGAAACGATGTTGATCAATGAGGTCTGATTCTCTTTTCATCTCTTTAAGATTTACATTCTTATCTATGAGCTGGACAGGAAAAAAGAAAGAGGTGTTAGAACGGGGAATGGAGTAATGGAGAAGATTTCCCTGAAGCAGAAGTCTCTGATGGTCAAGGTCCCATTTTTTGTCATCTCAGTGTAGGAAAATGTATGAATCTGACAGAAATGATACACATGACCCTCCCACATGAACAGAAAAGCTTTAAAGAACGAGTAGCTCAGAACATAACTGCTCTCAGTTTGAGGTCTAACTTTTTTGTCCCAGTCTGCAGTCTGTGCTGGGAGCATGGATACTTGCATGAGAAAAGGAGCATTTCCCACTCCTAGGATTGAAAGGTGATTTTGGTGGGACATCATCTCCCCTGCCAAATCTGCTTCCCTTTCCTCCTGTCTCCACAGCCCAAAACTGCCCAGGGCTCTCCCTGGATCCCCTCACACCACACTGTGACTCTGTGATTCTGTAATGTTATGTGGGGTTGCTACAGGTGTAGCCCAGTCCTGGAACACCAGAGGTTGCCTCCTGTAACCACATACACAGGGAGATGTGTCAGGAAATCAGTCCTATAGCTTAGATTTCCTGGGAGTGCTACAGTTCATTGAAGGATGAACAGTTTTGCTCAGTAAGAAAGAAGATCTCAATGTGAATGGAATCTGTTACAGCAGTGCTGAGAATATGTCTCAGAGCTGAGTTGGGCCAGGGAGAATTTTCTGCAGCATCACTGCAAAGAAGTTACATTTGATCAGCCTCTGATCATTTGGGGCCTCTAAACTGAAAGCAGTCCTGTGGAAATGCAATAGTCCAAAAATTACCCGGGAGAAAGATGATAAAGTCAAAGGTATTTTGGGTGGCCTGGGTCCAAGGTCCAGGAAAAGTGGTAATTCAAATGCTGCAGCTCATCTCTGAGTGGCTGGAGGGTGATGTGTATAAGAGGGACACTCACCTGAGGCTCAACCATCCACCACTCTGGAGGTTCCTTGCCATCTCCAGGCTCATACTTGTAAGCAGAGTACACTGGAATTCTCCTGTCTCTGTCGTACAG